ACCAGCACGGGATTCCTGCACCCAAGACTTCCTGTGCGCACTGAGTGTGACCTAGTCTTCCGCAGGCTTCAGAGTAAATCCCCCAGACCTTCACTTAACCACCTCAAAGCCATTCCGCTGTAATTACCTTGTTTCTCACTTCTGACACGTCCAGAGGACACAGCTAGAGAACTGACGTCTAACGTAGGATGAACCCTAGTTCGTGCATTCCCGGGAGTGTGCGCTTCTTCAGGGCTGGGCCCTGCGCTTCTCCGTGGTCTGCACCCCTCCCAGTACTTTTTAAGTTTTTTAAGTATTTATTTCCTTTGGAAATACACAGAGGCCATAAGAAACACATAAGAAGAACAAAAAATTACTTGAATAGCTTTTTTAAAAACAGAAAAATCCACCCCTCTGCCTGCTCTGTGCCGTCACTGAGTCCCCTGAATATCACTGGGAAAACACTCTGAGTCATACCACGGAGCTCAGTGCTATTGGGGAAACTTACTTAATTTCCCAGAAAATGCTTCTCCAAACCCTCTCCAAGAGAACTATTTCACTCTTCGTGTGTCCACGCCTCTCGCCACTACCTCTCAACTGGTAACAGGATCTCATACCACAGGAACAAAACAGAAGCAGTCAGACCCAAACTCCTTCACCCTCGGCCTTCCAATCTGCGAGCCTACCTAGCTGGGTACCCACACCCTCTGCCTCCCCCGTTTCAATCAAAGGTCCTGGCCTGCGACTCCTCTCTCTCCTGCAATTCTCTCTCAGCTTCCACCATCAGCCTCCCTCGTTCTCCGAATCTCCTCCTCCCTGTCTCCTATGGGACGCCAGCAGCAAGGAGGCACACTAGATGCTCCCAGGCTTGAAAAATCCTTCTTGATCTTCACATCTCTTCCAACAGATCTTCACATCTATTCCATTAGGCACCTCTTCACTTCGATAGTGAAATGAGAAAGAAGTGCCTATACTCAGTGCTGGACAGATCTTCACAGCCCGTTCCCTTCTCAAGACACTTCAGTTGGGCTCTGTCCCTCTCACTGCACAGAAACTGCCCTTGGCCAACCAGCGTGGCTCAGTGGTTGAGCATCGAGCTATGAGCCAGGAGGTCATGGTTCAATTCCCAGTCAGGGCACATGCCCGGGTTGCAGGCTCGATCCCCAGTAGGGTGCGTGCAGGACACAGTTGATCAATGATTTTCTCTCATCATTGATGTTTCTATCTCTCCCTCTCCCTTCCTTTCTCTGAAATCAATAAAATCATATTTTTTTTAAAGAGTATTTCCTGTGGAAACAGGATGCACCTCCCACTGGATTTCTAACAAGAGTCTCAGGGAACAACACAACAGCAGAAATCACGTCCTCCAACAAAGGCTCCACGCGGCTCCAAATGCTCTCCCCTCCCCCAGGCAGGCCCCTAAGGATGAGGCCACAGAAAAGTGCAGAGGAAAACAATGGCTCCGAAACCGAAACCGCATCGCAGAGGGCTAGACCCCCGGGGCTCACGGAAGGGCGATGAGAGATGAGAGAAATTCAGAGCAGAGTTGCTCAGGCTGCCTGTGAGCCATATGCAAAGTAGTAGCGTGGGAACTGCAAACATACTGTGGTCAGGAAAGAAGAGATAGAGGGAGGGACTCTCCTTATAAGTGATACAAAATCTAGGCCAGTATATAAACTCCATGTTCTTTCTTTACAATCTTTTATTTACTATGTCCCTTAACTAAGTCTTTAGATTTCCTTTTCTTACTTGGTTTTAGCAAAAGAAGTCCTGTATTCAGTCTTGAACTTGCAAGGCCTCCTAATGAGACCAAGGACATGTGTGCAGAAAAGGAAGGCGGCTGCTGCAGGTGCCAAAAGGAGATGGAATTGGGGACAGTAAATCCATTAAAAACAAAATTGGGCTGAAAATATTTGCAATAATAATATGCTATTTCTGTGTTAAACAGCTTTGTGGAAATCATGGTTACAGAGCAAAATTAAACATCATAAAACTTCACAGTGTGAAGACAATATAACTAGCAAATATCATAAAAAGTGGGGAGCAGCTGTGGGAGGAAGTATGATGCTCATTTTCTCATAACTGTGCTCCCTTTCTTGGCAGGGAGTAAATCAACACTGAATACAATAGAAATGCTTGTTATTAAAAAAACACATTAAAATCCCAACCTCATAATCCTTTTCCTGATATATTTTCATTAGCTTAGAGTGATCTCAGAGGAAATAATCTCTCATGTAGTGAAAAAAGATCTGAATGCTAGCAATAATGTGTAGTTTTTTATTCTATTAAATATAAATTTGATGCCATTTATTTTCAAGTAGCATGTGTAATATGATCCCACTGTTCTAAAATCATTCTGTTTTTTCCACATACATGCCTGGGATGGGCGGGGGGGAGGGGGAGTACTCAAAGTTAACAACAGTTAGCTCTGGGTGGTGGAATTCTAGGAGATACGTTCTTTTTGATTGGCATTTTGATCTATCCGAGTACATTAGCAGAGGTTGTTTTAGAGTCTGAAAAGCTTTAGGAAGCTTTGCTGCACAGGTCCAGACCACAGTTGAGTTCCTTTTCACCTGAGATCAACATTTCAGACACCCATTTCTTCCCCAGTCAGATGCAAAGCTGAGCCACACCCGATGGACCTGCTGTCCCTGCCTGCCCACCATGAAGGTGGGATTCTTCAATTGGCTAAATGACTCCAGGCTCTGAACCCGAGTTGCCCTCCCGGTGATGAGGGCCAGTGGGCAGGGAGGGGTCATACTTTGCCACCAGCTTATGGAAGATCTGGCAATCTGCTGACCTCTCTCACAACCTTCGCTTAGGGCCCTGGCCGGTTTGGCTCAGTGGATAGAACGTCAGCCTGAGGACTGAAGGGTCCCAGGTTCAATCCTGGTCTAGGGCACGTACCTCGGTTGCAGGATCCCTGCCCTGGTCAGCGGTATGCAGGAAGCAACCAATCGATGTGTGTCTCTCACATCGGTGTTTCTGTCTCTCCCTCTCCCTCCCACTCTCTCTAAAAATCAATGGGGAAAAATATCTGCAGGTGAGGATTAAAAATAAATAAATAAAAATAACAAAAGTAGATATTTGAAAAAAAAACACACACACACACAACCTTCGCATAGGGCAGAACTTGTCAGCCTAGGGCAGACGTGGGCAAACTACGGCCAGCGGGCCGGATCCGGCCCGTTTGAAATGAATAAAACTAAAAAAAAAAAAAAAAGACCGTACCCTTTTATGTACTGATGTTTACTTTGAATTTATATTAGTTCACACAAACACTCCATCCATGCTTTTGTTCCCGGCCCTCCAGTCCAGTTTAAGAACCCATTGTGGCCCTCGAGTCAAAAAGTTTGCCCACCCCTGGCCTAGGGGCACATTTTCTCCTAACTTTCATTTCATTCAGACACTGCATTGTTTTTAAATTCTTTAATAAAAATTTGCAAAGCAAGGAAGTAGCCAACTACTGGAACAAAGAGGGGTGTGTGTCAGGAAATGCATGTAGTCTCTCCCCTGATGCAGATCTGTAACCTACTTTCTGGGAAGGAACACGCGGATCTTTATACGACTGTAAAAGTGTTGCCATACTTAGGCTTCGTTAATCCAACTTGTTTTCCATGATAAGGAGAAAGGATATTACATGGCTGTTTCATAGACACTAAGACCCATACAGTAGTTTGCCAAGGGTCTCTCATAACATGAGGATTATTAGTATTTTTACCAAATATATATATATATAACTAGAAAATCCCAGAAACAAACAAAAATGCTTGAGTTTTTGAAAGTTTCAAGCTTGGTGTTACAAGTACAGTAAAACCACCTTTACAACCTCAACTAGGTACTTTAAGTGAAAACAATTATTTCTTAAACTGATTATGTGACTAGCCTTGGGTTCTTCCTAATGTGCACCTCAAATTCTCATGATCTCTTCGTCTCACCATCCAGAACAGGAGACTGCTTTCCATTACAGTTGTTTAAAAACAAAACCTCGAAAAGAAATCACACGGCTGTTCAATTTTTCTTTTTAGAATATGGCTGCAACGCAGAATCAGAAAATCAAGTTCAACCACAATCAGCATTGAAAGTGAGTGTGTTTTATTTTCTCCAAACATGTTGGTGAAGGCTGATCGTTTCCAGAATAAATAATTTCTAAGTGCGTATGGGTTTTCCACAAGACTCTTCGCGAAAATGCATTGGAGAGTTAGCAAGGATGGCGAAGACTGTGAGTCACCTGACCGTCCTGGGGTCCCTCCTGCTGAATGGCATCTTTGGGGATATTAACGCAAAATCAACAATCCAAGCACATGTTCACCTCCCCAAAAACACTCAACCCCACGCCTTGTTCATTTTGTTGCAGGCCCTTCAGCACCAACTGGAATCATTTCAGGCTCTCCGAATACAGACTTTGCAGAATGTCAGCATGGTACGTTTCGCTTCATCCGCACACAGGAAATATCCAAACGGAATCAATCACCCACATTTCTCACTGATGACCACTGGCCAATTGGTCAGCCGATACAGAATCCTATATAATAAAGAGCTAATATGCTAATTAGACCAGACAGCGGAATGACCTTCCAGAACAACCAGTGGGCAGGGGGCGAGGCCGTGGGGTCGTGAGGGCTGTGAGGGTCGAGGCAGCTGAGGCCACTAGGGCCAAGCCCCTTGCACAAATTTCATGCATCAGGCCTCCTGTGTAATATAATAGAGGCCACAACATTTCTAGGCTCAAAATTTGGGGAAAACTATATTCTGTTACATATACTTGGATATGAGACAAAAAGAAATAGCGCTCACTGGTTGTTTTTTAGACTGACTGTATATAGTCTACAGACAGGGTCTCTCATTATAAATGATTCAAAATCTGCCCTAGCCTGTTTGGCTCAGTGGATTGAGCATCAGCCTGCGGACTGAAGGGTCCCAGGTTTGATTCCCGTCAAGGGCACATGCTGGTGTTGCCGGCTTCATCCCCAGTGGGGGGCGTGCAGAAGGCAGCCAATCAATGATTCTCTGTCATCATTGATGTTTCTGTCTCTCTCTCCCTCTCCCTTCCTCTCTGAAGTCAATAAAAATATATTTTTAAAAAATAATAAGTGACACAAAATTTAACCCAAACTGACTAAGGGGGAAAGTGCACTAACTTGGGTAACTGAAAACCCTAGGGATTTGCACTCAGGGAAGGCTGAAGTCACGTGATCAGGACTCAGAACATCAGATAAGTATCTGCTTTCCACAGTCATGGATCCTCAGATTCCAGGCAGTGACGGAGGGGCTGCTAGGAGTTCACACCTTTCTCCCTCCAGATCCCAGCCAGAGAGGGGACCACCATGCTTTTCCCTCTTCCGGGTTTATACTGAGGTTCTCGGCCTGATTCTGATTGGCCCAGGTCCGGTCACGTGCCAGGGGAGGCAATGCTCCCACTGGTTAGGGCTGAGTCACCTACCACGCCTGGAGCTGGAGGAGGGATCCGCATCACCAACGCTGCATGGACTTTATACAGAAGGAATGCAGGGTAGTGTAAAGAGGAGGTTTGGGTATGAATATTGGGGGTGCAGAACACAACACTTATTCGCTGAAGACTCGATATAAACTTCACCCCAATATTCTTGTACTAAAAGCAATTGCAGGGGAATGGGAAGAGAAGATGAAACTCCTAAGAGTGAAAGACTAGGTTCCGTTCTGATGTCAGAGGTCAAAGGAGTAGACCTCTGATACAAAGGTCTCTGATGCATTCAACAATGTAAAAATCAAACATCTAAAACGATTTGAATATACTGCGTAAGATTTTATTGTTTTCCTAAGTTTAGTCTTTCTAATTTTATAACCTCTTAATAAGGAGATCATTTTATTAAAGATATCTTTAATTATATAGATTACAATAAGTTAAGTTTTAATTTTATGTGATGGGAAAGAATTTTTACATGCGGAAAATTAAAAGTTATCTTTTAATTATATTATTACTCCTGGACATTCATAAGTTTATAAACCTGAAATCAAATTCTAACATTCTCGATTTATCTTTTTAAAGGTACAATCTGAAATTAGTGACATACTGAACAAAAGTATTATTGAAGTAGAAAACCCACAGTTTAGCTCAGAAAAAAATCTAGTATTCAACACACACAATGAAAAGGTATGTTATTCTGTACAAAATCATTCTATATTTGGGTATTTCAAAAATGTTACCACAACTAGTTTATCTTCAACTTTACGTTTTCCCCTTCTTCACAGGGCGACTGGATTGTCAGAGAGGAAAAGAAGGAAATTCCTGTCCTGAAAACCCTAAAAGGCGTGAGTTTACCCCCATACTTCTGCAACATCCCATTTCCCGTAGGGGGGCTGTATGAAGGGCATTTAACTTAGTCCAGATACCCAAAGATTCCCAAGTAAATGAAATACAGGGCAGTTGTTATAGTCTATCTGTCCACTTTTGAGTTTTTCTACTTTAGGATTGACCTAGACCCAGGGTGAATGCGCTAGGACAGGTCCATACCAGTGTCACTGTGTCCATACTGCTTAGCACTCACATTTTCAGGATCCTCACAGCCCCTAGAATCATCTGGAACTAGGAATGCAAGCTGAGGGAGACAAATAGCCGAGAAGTGGAAATATTCATTTTTCTTTAAACCTCCATTTGGCCTATTGCTTCTCTCTTTCCCATCCATCTGTGATGGTCTCCTGAGAGAGGTTAAATGTCTATTTCTGAAATTGAGGGGTTGGCTCATGAATCTCACCCTTGAAGGAAATAAGTATACTTTCTAAGCAAATTGCAAAGACCAGAGTTACAGATCTCAACTGTTGTTAGATTTTCTGGAGGAAATGAATCATACTTGTTGGGCTTCTTCGCTGTCTATGTGATTAAAATGCTCGTTTGCTTGCAAAAACAAATCCTCCACAAATTGTTATCTTAATATGTTGGTCATGTGGCAAATGACAGTACATTTACAGTGTGCTTCTTATTGTTACTAGCCTACAGAGAATCAAGAAGAAATCCTCTCTGTGGAGAAAATTCATCATTTTGAGGACTCGAGGACTCTTCCTTCAATGGAAGAAAAATTCAGTAGCGATAATGTCAACAGTCTCTCTCCAAGTGTGAATATGCCGCCCCAGATGCATTTCAAAGACATATTAACTCTAAGAACTTCCATGGATAATCCAGCCTCAAACATGATTATGAACACTTCAGAAAATTCTGACATGTTGAAGAATTATAACATTTATAGTTTTCTAGCTAATGCACCTCAAAATGTTATGCCTCGAGCTGACACAGTAATTCTGGATAATTCCAAAATTACTGTGCCTTTCCCCAAGCACGGATTTCATGAAAATTTAGATGATATTTGCCATTCTATCAAGCAAATGAAGAAAGAGCTGCAAAAGTCACACGACAGGGAACTGGCACTTACAAATGAACTTCAAACTTTAAAGATGGATACAAATGTTCAAAGTAATACTCAATATGACCTGTCCCCCATTCACAAGGAAAAAATTAACTTTATTAAGGATGAAAATATGGAAAGTAACTTACATGAAGATATAAAATCAAAGCGAATTTTAGAATTAGAGGCATTAATAGGCAAATTACTCCCACTCAGGGAATCAGTGTCAAAATTCCATCTGAATTTTTGTAGGAAATGTAAAAAATTGTCTAGGAGTGAAACACATAGGGGAAAGAAGAATGAGAAAAACAATAAAGAAATTCCTATCACTGACAAGAATACTGCAGATTTAAAATTCCGTTCCAGACTTCCATTTACACCGTCATTCTTTGACTCAACAAAATATGAAATGAAAGACAAAGAAAGGCAACCACTTGTAGTAAAACGAGGACCAATAATATTTGAAAATGAGAAAACATCCAAAGTTAATTCCATGACTGAGCAGTGTGTTGCAAAAATTCAGTACTTACAGAATTACCTAAAAGAATCTATACAGGTACAGAAAAAAGTAGCAGAGCTGGAGAATGAAAATCTAGCCCTTAAGACCAAAATAAAACCTCTGGCCTTTACCACACTATCTCTGATACACAAAATTGAAATATATGAAAAGAAACTTAAGGATTTGGTTGAAGAAAAGAACACTATTCAGTCCCAATTAAGTAAAACAGAAGCAGAGGGCAAAACTGTATTGAAGAATTGAAAAAAGTAATTAGTAAATATAATGTTCTCCAAGGACAAAATAAAACTCTAGAGGAAAAAAAATAGTCAACTTTCTTTGGAGAAACAACAAGTGATAGAAACATTAGATAATCTAAAAAATAAAGAACACAAAACTCAAAACGATATGGCCATTGTCAATAATGAATATAATCGAATGAGCATAGAAATGGAATCAATGAAAACAAATATTCTATTGATACAAGATGAAAGGGAAATGTTAGAGAAGAAAACCTTCCAGCTTCTAAAGGAAAAAAGCTCACTGGAAAATGAACTAAAAGAAAGCCAGCTAGAGGTAGTGCAGCTGAAAGAGAGAGAAAGATTGGCAAAAACTGAACATGAGGCCCTGCTTCAAATAATAGAAACAGTCAATAATGAAAAACTTAGTCTTGAAACAACATTACAAGAATCTACTGCTGCCAGGCAAATGATGGAAAGAGAAATTGAGAACATGCAAACATACCAGTCTACTACCGAAGAGAATTTCCTGAATGAAATAAAAAATGCAAAATCAGAAGCTAGTATTTATAAGAATAGTTTATCCGAAATGGGCAATGAATGTGAAATGTTATCGAAAATGGTCATGGAAATTAAAACAGACAATCAGATTCTAAAGGAAGAACTAAAAAAACATAGTCAAGAAAATATACAATTTGAAA